GCCACATCAGCATGCCATGAAGACCAGAGGCAGCACCACATCAGCATGCCATGAAGACCAGAGGCAGCGCCACATCAGCATTGCCTGGCGCACAGAAGAAACGCCAGCATGCTGCCTCCACCTTGCGCTGTCGTCCGCAACGCCTGCGCACAGCCAGCGTGTAGCCAGCGTCGCGCCAGCATGAAGCCAGCGTCTAGTCAAAGTCAAGCTAGCGTCAAAGCAGCGTAGCAAGACTGAATACTTGACTCTCTCGAGGCCAGCCTTAAGTAGCAGATGTCGAGGCTGTCCGGCCTCGGTCCTCTTTCCTTAGTCGTCCAGATTGACTCACATCTGAAGGCCCGGATGATACAGTTGCAGACTTCTCCCTTGGTCCTGATGCTGTCTGGGTACCTGCATACAAAACCAATGTGTGTGCTTGACCTGCGGCCTGGGCTGGGTACCTTTGGACTTTGACTGTTGCGTGCACCAACAGTTGACTTTAAAAAGTCAACTGTCACACGCCCAGGCCCTGAAATTGTGAAGGGCTTTTTCTGCCCTTATTTGGCCTGCGCTGAGGGTGGCCAAGTAGGCCTTCTGATGGCCCTCAGTTCCAGGAGACATATGGCACGTTGCCTTGCAGTTTTATAGTTATTATTTATTTATTTATTTATATCTTTGCTGTTAGCTAATGTGGTGTCCAGTCTATGAACTGGTGGCAAGTTTGGTTAAAAATGCCTTTGCGTTTTATTATAAATAAAAAATAAATAAAACCACACGACATGTTGTCTGGAAATCTAACCATCTCTCTTCACTACCTACCTTCTTCCCCCGAATACAACGTACAGTCATTATAGCTGTATCTAGACTGAAAGATGCCTCAAATACAGCTATAATGACCGTACGTTGTATTCGGCAGAAGAAGGTAGGTACCACGCCTCCTAAGTGTTACATGCTGCGCCTGCAACAGGCTGCGCGGGCCATTTTCAGGCCCGTGTCGTTTTCAGCCTGAAAGCCTGAAAACGAGGGCCTACAGGCCCTGTGTTGTTTTCAGCCTAAAAGCCTGAAAACAAGGGCCTACAGGCCCTGTGTCGTTTCAGCCTGAAAGCCTGAAAACAAGGGCCTACAGGCCCTGTGTCGTTTCAGGCTAAACCAGGGCCTTACTGGCCCTGAGTATTTTCAGCCTGAAACTGAGGGCCATTTTCAGGCCCTCATCAGTTCGACCTACCCTGAAACTCAGGCGCCAGACCAGGGTTTTAGCTCAGGCCATTTTTGGCCTATTTTCAAGACAACCTTTGTTTGAGCTTCAACCCCAGGGTCTGGCACGTTTTGGCATTGGCAAGAGCAGCCTCCTGGATGGGCCAGCACTTTATAAGACTGGCCTGCCCTGGAGGCTGCAGGCAGTTGGGAGGCCGCTCCTAGGTACTTCCCAGGCACTTCACCTGCAGGCAGGAGGCAGTAGTCTTCAGGATTCGGCAGCAGCACTCTGGAGGAGCGCTGCAGTAGTAGAGTAGCGTTAGCCTTAGTCTTCAGCGCTGGGCGCCTGTAGGTGGCTGTAGTCTTCAGCGCTGGGCGCCATAGCTAGGATAGTACTAGAGAGAGAGAGATTGGGCGGAGGCCAGGAGTACCTACCTGCAGCACCGTTGCTCCGGCTTCGTCTTCGAGGTACCTGCAGCACAGCGCCAACTTCACAGGTTAGTGCCTGGCTCGTGAGAGAGAGAGAGAGCTCTTCTTCTTCCTCTTCTCAGTCCACCATCTCCCTCTCACCCTCTCATTATCTGACTTCACTCCATCAGCAGACTACGAGAGAAAGAGAGAGAGAGAGAGGGCTTGGTGACATTGGATCCAGACTCGACTTTTGGGCTTCAGACATTTCGACGAGGGATTATTTGGGACTTGTGACAAAGACTTGGTGTTGACGACACTCCCATGTCTCCCCCTCTTCTTCGTCTGATCCCCTCCTCTCCGTCTGTGTATGTCTGGACCTAGCGCTCCTTCCTGTGTAATAGCGCCAGGCTCCTTCACACTTTGTGATGAGCATGATGTATGTTTGATCTGCGTTGAAACATTGATTGGGCTAGTCATTAGCATTCTAGCACTCTGCTGCGCTATCTTGTACTACGTGATAAAGGTCAGTCTCGGTCAGGTCAGGTCTTGTATCTAAGTCTTCCCTGCGCTATTCAGCACCATTTTGTACGTATCAGAATGCACATTGCTTGTTGAGATTCTACTTGCACTGCAGTGTCCATTCAGTCCTTTTCATCACATTGCGGATCCTCGGTTATTGTGTACATCACCCGACTGGGCATGTAACATAAGCCTATACAGCGAGCGTACCCC